CATTTATTAATCTTTACAGTTTCAATAAATTAAATCTACAACAAAAAAGTCTCTCTTGTATACGTAAATTGTACATAATTCACGGTGCAGTGCAAAAGTTCGAAAATTATCAATTAATTGACAGTTCAACAACAAACAGCTGAAATATTTCGTAGAGTTTATCTAAAATATACGGTAATATGCTTGCGTATAATTTTTTAGCCTTAAAAATTAGCTACTACTATTATTGTTTGCAACGAAGCTTATGTTTACTTTCTGATCAAGTTTCTTTTCTCATATTCGAAACGTTTAGAGAATTAATCTAACACTTTATTTAGACCGACAATGCCATAATAACAAAATCAAAAAGCATGAGTAAGAAAACTGATTTGACAAATAGAATCTCACAACAAAAAAATTCCAGTTTGCGATACTAAAACGCAATGCTTTGTGACTTATAGTTTCGGGTTCCGCCAAACAATATGAGTGGGTAATATAGGAGATATGAAACGATCCAAATTTGAACCGAAAACAGTTCAAGGAATAAAATACCGTTATCATTATCCTCACTAATTATAATACCAACATTTTTTCAATAGTAATAGTCGATGTCCAATCACTCGGGAATTCAATATACATATCGGTATTGAGGAGCTGTCACTGTCGATAGTGATGGTAGCACGATTTATTGGGTATGAAATGTCTCTGTCGTTGTTGAATAATATATTTATCATTCCCGGGTAATATTTCAATGATATCGAACATAATCCTGCAAAACGAAATTACATTATTGTCTGCTTGAAACGTATTTAATACAGCCAGTAGAGACTTATTCTATAAATATCCCTTTTCACAGACTCCACCCGCCCCTATTCTAATAAAATCATCTTAACGCGTTCGGTGGGAATTAAGGATCAAATCAAATTGAGATAAAAAATGTATTACGTATCAAAATGGCGATTTTTGAAGGATATCACTTGTGCAGATAGGATACGTGTCGTGCGAAAATTTGTATATCAACATCCATAGATCCATTAGATACCAACAGTTGTGAAACTATACTCTTTTCTGCTCGAGACTTCCAAAGTCGGTCTGTAAGACTTGCCATGAATAAGCTTTCAAGTCTTCTCTATTCCAGAATTCGTCAACTGCCAAGTCCATTTGATTCTCGGACTTAACGACTGTCAAGTTTATTTGATTCTCGGATTCGTCTACTGCCAAGTTCACTTTATTCCCGAATTTGTCTAATGCCGATTTCACTTTATTCCAAGAATTCTGCTTACTCAGAGCTTCCGCCTCTTTGAAGTTATTAAAGCCCATTGTTACCTTACCCTCTACTGACGACACCTGGCTAATGAATATTTGAAAGAGATTTGTTAGTGAAAATTACTAGAAATTCCATAACACAAATAACGCCTGTAAGACTTACTGTGACAACCCTTTCGTGGAAAGATATAGCTTTATATATTCACGAGCGGTTTTTTCATAATTCTTAGCAAGTTTCTTGTGAACGATATTGTGATAAACGTTTTTACACGAGTTTGCCGTACGTCCGTTTTCAAGTTGTTTTGAAATGTCTGACCATCTTTTCTTTCCTACGTCATGCAGATAATAAACAGTGGCAACCTCTATATCTGAGAACGCTTTTTTGTTGACTATTTGACAAAAGATGCGTTAGTGAATTTATTGACAATGCTGCGTAAAAAACTTATGTTAAATTTTTTACCTCCTTTTAAATGAGACAGCCATCGTTCTCTCATTTGCTTGCCATTCCGACTAGGATGGTGATTAGAGTTCTTTTCCCAGTTATGTAGACCATACGCTTCTACTATCGCATCTACCTGTTATTTAGTAAAATATAACGGTAGTAAAATAAATAAGACAAAATACTGAAATACTGAATACGACTCTAAAGTATACTGTATGCTACATTTACCTCAGGAGTCCGATGTCCCTGTTTCTCAAGCTGATAGTAAACTATGGTCGAGACACGAAGAAAATAGTTGTAAATATATGTACTTTCACCAAGTTAGCCTCAGAACATTTAGTTGCTGAACGGTAGCTTTAAAAGTATTTAATTTTTTTCTAGAAGCTCTGAGACAATAAACTTACGTTCTGTCATGTGCAAAGGTAAAACGAAGGACTGGTCAATCTTTTAAGCATGTACTGTATGACAATAATAAGAGTCTGTACTGTTGTGCAACAGTAATAAGGGTTTCTTTATAGGAAATTAAACAAAAGAAGACCAGCTCACAATTTTTCCCCCATGTAATTGCATTGGACGAGTCTAGACTACTATGGTATCACTTAACGTTTAACTATTGTATGAATGTATAAAAAAATAATTCTACATCTGTCCGAATTGAATTTTGATGCAAAAGCGGGAACGATATGAGATTGGTGGAATTTATGGATGGCTAGTTTCATTACAGAAAATCTTCTTGTTAAAACGCGCGTTGCTGTTTGTTCAACTGATTACGCCGTAACTTGAGCACGTCGGTAATAGTAATGCCGTACTACGTACAGTATTAGCAGATTAACGATTAAAACAAGACGAGACATCACCACAGACTACAGGACTATAGAGTTGAAGCGTTATTTAAAGATACATTTTATTGCACTTGTACCACAGCTGCCATTACAGTGTTAGATTAGTATTAGGTTGACTCGTATACAGAATAGTGACGTGTGCTGTTTAGGGCTCGGTATGTATCAATAGTGTCAGATACAATATTGCATTTTTAAGAACCGTTCTAGGACTTATGCTCGTACGATAGATTAGACTGTATGTTGAATATGTCTATAATATTAAAAGTCAGACTAAAAATTACAACACACTATTTGACTGAGTAAACACTATTTGAGCAAGCAGCTTTTTTATTCCCTTTTAGAAATTTCTGCACATTTTCTTCACGAAAAAAAAGCCATCTGTTAGGTTAATATTGACGCGATAATTATAACAGATATGTAACCTTAATATTTATGTTATTGTTATTCATATATTCCAACAAAAATGCACTACAAATGTGATTAAATAGTCATAATTTTAATTGCTTTTCTGCTTTCTGCCCCCTGTTTTTGTTCAAAATATTTAATATAACATTGTTGAAATACTTGTTTTTCTTTTTGATTGCATATTATTTGATATCAATTATAACCCGGGGTCATCGACCGAAACATTCATTGCATTGCTTACAAGAAGCTCTATTGTCATCTTTTCTGTGCTAATGAATATAGAGGAGGGAGATTTGCAAGTTAAAAATTACTAAAAGTTCGATAAATACAAATAACATTTGTAATTACTTACGCTGACAACTCTCTCACGAGTGCTGCAAAATATAACTCTGTATATTTGCTGGCAGATTCTGGACAACTCCTAAGTTTCTTGTAAACGACATTGTGATAAACGTTTTTGCACGAATTTGCCGCACGTCCATTACCAAGTCTTTTTGCAATTTCAGCCCATCCTTTGCTTTCTATGTCATGTAGATAATAAACAGTGGCAACCTCTTCATCTGAGAATGGTTTTTTGTTGACTATTGATAAGAGAAAACCTTAGTGAACTTTATTGACAATGATGGCGTTAAACAACTTGCATGTTAAATCTTCACCTCCTCTTAAGTGAGATAGCCATCGTACCCGCATTTGCTTGCCATTCCGAGTAGGATGGTACGTAGACATTTTTTCCCAGTTATATGGGCCACACTTTTTTACTATCTCCAAAAGCTGTTTATCTTCCTGCCATCATTAGGAATGTGACGACAGTAAAATGAATAAGACAAAATTGTTGAATCGAACTCTAAAGACTTAGTATATTGTATGTCACACGTACCTCAGAAGTCCAATGTCCCATTTTCCTCTTTACAAAATATTGCTCAAACTGCTGCGTGTTTTTTGCTGTGCCGTTAGCTACTCCTAAATTGCAAGCCGGATCCGTTGTATAGGTAATGCACTTCGAAGGTATTTTATCTTTCTGTTAGGAATGTAATGATGGTAAAATTAAGAAGATTGAAACATTGAATAAAACTCTAAGGTATGCTGTATGTCACATTTACCCCAGAAGCTCCGTGTTCCTGACTAGTTTTCGGTTTGAAAGAATAATTCTGAAGCTGCGTTTTTGTCATCTCCGAAAGCATTTCATCTTCCTGTCATCCATTAGGAATGTAATGATGATTAATTAGTAAGACAAAATCATTGAAGCGTTGAATAAGACTCTAAAGTATACTGTATAATACATTTACCTCGGGAGTCCAGTATTCGTACCTTATTTTCTTATTGCAAACTATGGTCGAAATAAGGAAAAGTCGTTGTAAGTATATGAATGTGTTATTTACCAATTTACATTTGCTTGCGGGGGAAGGAAACGACTAGCTTAAAGTATCCGACGATAGAATTTTCTTTCTAGAATTTTTGAGACAGATAGGCTTACATTCTGTCATGGCCGTCAATCACAAAGGTTAAGATTAAAGATACGAAGTATTAATCCCCTTCAGTAAAACACAGACGCAGTATTGTACCACGGTTCACCGGAAGAAAAGTACCGAAAGCCCTGCCGATCAACTGGTAAATCTTTTTTCTTCAAAGAGCTCTATCGTAAGTATTTCGCAATAAGTTTTACATCATTTTAAAGTTAGTTGGCGTAAATTTCAGTCAGTTATTAACACTATTACTATTCCAACGCCGTCGTTTCTTCGAGTCGTGTGGTATTTCTTTTAATATAGATACGTAAGGGTATACCACACAGTTACTTTTATTTGGTTAGGCGGTCATGCAGTAACGGTAACGGACAGACCCGATTTATATACAGTACTACACATATACTATGATTGTGAACTGAATGCTAGTTCCCCAAACTGCGCAAATAGTTATAGTAATAGTGTGCTACAAACATGATCTGCGCCACAGGACAAAATATTTATTATTTGCTTAGCGTATTGTGGATCCATTGACTTCAGACATGATTCGCTTTGACTTGGATTTGAAAGAGTCTATCCTAATTCCCAGATTTCTTTTTATTAAGGTCATACGCTTGCCATTTGCCCTATCGATATAAGCCTTTTGATGACTGTACTGTATTCAGTTATCTGATATAGTATTAGTATTCGTAATTAAATTGGTGTAATTTTTGAAGAAGGGAAAATGACAAATATATTTGATAGATATATTAGGGACGGGAAAGAAAACCAATACAGACAATAAATCAATATTTGAGGCAATGGTTATTATACTATTAAATGAACATACTCAAATGCAACTTTTCAGTCCCGAAAGCGTGCATTTAGGAGAGTTGACTGTATAACGGATATTACCGTTTAATGTAATAGTTACGTTAAACTCGAATGCCTTACTGGGGTATGTAAACGGTGGCTCAGTAAATCTGATAGTTGTGAGACACCAAAATCCAACGAGTGGGCACACAAGATTCAAAGCTGATTTCTGGCTAAGTATGTCATATGATGGTCACGGATTCTGACGCGCTATAAAATTCGTTCATCGTGTTTGCATTTGCTTTTCTTGCTTAAACAGTTATAGGCTCGAATGTCTGGTTTTCTGTCACCACAGCTATTTGAAGCACTTCAGTTCCCAGGTCAGCCACTTTATTTTGTTCAGCTTCATTGATCGTTACGTTACTGAAAACTGTCCTTTTCTAAAAGCATACTGGAATCGAGCGCCATCAAAATGAGGAGGTATAGCAGACTGGGATATCTTCATCATTAATAAAGTGCCAGGAATAAGCAGGCACGTCGCTCATGCTACACTCGCAGCTGAGCTGAAAGTCCTTAAATCTGAACTACCAATATCCAGTGTTGCTTATCAGCGAATGTCTATTATGAAAACTTGTCTCGAGGTAAGTGATTTCCTTTTCGACTCCTATGTTGATACCTTCTGACATAATTACTGCCTAGACACCCCGCGGCGACTGTCGAGCGAGTTTATCGCAGATGGTAAGCTGCTGGTTTGCCGGAAGTGGGGGAAGTGCGACTGCACGGTCGGCAATATTATTATGATTGGGAGGGCACAAACCATACCCCGCGGCGACTGTCGAGCGAGTTTATCGCAGATGGCAAGCTGCTGTTTGCCGGAAGTGGGGGAAGTGCGACTGTACGATGGTTTTGGGCATTCAACATATTAATATAGCTATGTGGTGACTATTCACATTTTGTTCAACTCATGTTTAACAGTACAAATGGTTTACACATGTAAGGGTTGCAAAAAAGATCCAGTAAACACGAAAACGGCTTAGCAAGGCATGCAACTAGAAACAGAGTAAACTTGGTAAGCATGCATGTTGCAACTTTTCCAGGATGGATACTTTATACTAAAACATTGTTCAAAAATCTAGTGCAATTTGGAAAGCACAGCTTTTAACACTGGAATTGTGTTATCAATTAAAAAAGTTTCAGGCAAAGGCCGAGTATGTAATGTGTCCACAATTAATATTAACTGTATACTGAATTGGTCTCTAATGTTTTTAAATGATTCTTATACAGGGGAAAACTCCACCATGTGAACCGGTCTTGCCTTCCATGAAACAAACTCTAGAAGATGAACCATATCCTAAACTTCGGGTCAGATATAATCATTATGTTTACACACAGAACTAATATATAATACTAAAGATCTGATCAATAAACTCACTAGTACTAGTTTGTTTCTTGTAGAATTTTAAAATGAGACTATTAGATGTTAGTTATGATGCAGTTGATAACCCTGAAAAAAACGAAGGTGAAGATGAAGAATTAGATGTGATGATGAAGAGACTATCTATGCAGACTCTGTTCGAAATCTATCATTTGATGATGATGTATCCTGTAAAGATTCAGAATGGAAGCTAAGTAGTGGCAAACTTGTGGCAGAAATTTTGGCAAGCAGTACCATGAAAGCATTGGAAACTTCAAAAAAGGCTACAAAAAAACCTGATGCCTTTGTGAACAGTATTATCTGGTATGTATGTTAAATGAAAAATATGTTGTCAATAAGATAATAACTGATATCTTTAACAATAGTCTTGGGCTATCATGTATTGTTGACCTTGATTCAGAATTTTCTAATGGGATGCACATGTGGTTTGGCAATGAGTGGACTGCCTTGAAAGAAAAGGTGTATGAACATGTTAATATAGTACCAAAACCTTTTGATGGCAATGTAAAAGAAGTGATTGATCAAATTGACATGGTATATTCAAACAATTACAATTGTCAGTCATTAACAATATATTAATATTAGTTAATATTAACTCTTTTATATTTAGTTTTGTCAGACTCACAAATATTGGGCTGCACAAGACTTCCTTCTAGATCAAATGAAGGACAATAAACAAGTCATGCCCAGTCTTATACAAGCAGATAATAAAAATTTATCACACTGTGTATGAACTTTATTACTCTTTCTTGTGGTTTAGCTGTGCTATGATTTCTAAAAAAACTGACACAAATTCCATTTACTATTACCAGCATTGATATGTTTCTATACACATTTGTAGATCAAAATGGGCAAAGAAAAAGGTTAACAGAAATGGAATTTGTTCTGAAGATGAGGTGCTCCCATAATTGACATAAGTTTTTCTGATATAAAAGATTTGTCATTATTACTGTTACTCATTCATACACTTATCATTTGTCTGATCACTACATAGGGGTGAGACAGAGACAAAATGTACTAGTACACCTGCGTGCAGAAAAATCAATATGAGGATTGTCCATCAAGCTCACAATATTGAACTTAGCCACACAGAATGTGCCCAATCTCCCGCGCCTATGAAGGCTGTTCATGATTGTTCCAAGTTGTTAAGAACGAATAAGTGTGTACTTGACAAATATCTGATGGAAAATATACCAATGGATACATATACAGAAACAACTGTGTTTGACTTACAAGTTGCTGGTGAGGCTTTGTATTTAGTTATTTATATTATGATGAACTCTATACTTGGTGGCAACTGATGTTTAATACTCATTATATTAGGGTTAGATGCTCAGTTAATTGGTATTGATATTTTTGACTATGGTCTTTATTTTGGCCTGGAAGGAGCTTCATTTAGCTTTCCCTCACAGTTGACACAAATTACAATTTTGCAACGAGCTCTTGAAGTTTTGTATTTCTTTAAGGTAAGCATTTTAGCTCTTTTACAATCATGCCATTTAATACTTTTGTGTGAAATATTTAATTTCCTTTGTGAAAACTATCAGGACAATATTAAACGTAAAGCCATTGCTTTACCTGATCCTGTTCATAGTATAAATCCAGGGACATCAAAACCAAAACATTATAAAGCAAGCTTCATAAAGCCCACGTTTTTTACTCCCGAGGAAATGGTAAGACGTGAGACTCAAAAAACCAGGTATTTTATTAAATGTTTACTTTCATTGCTATTTTTGCACTGAATATCATCAAACTTAAAAACATAACAATAATAATAATATTTGTTACTGTATTGTTTGATAGGAGTGAAAAATGGGGTATATAGAACCTCCGTACTGTACCTTTTCAAATTCTGTACTGTACTATTTAATGAAGCTGTACTAATAAAATATGACATTCCTATTACTATATAAATGCTGTACTGTACCGTTGCATTTGGCCCCCTGTACCATTATCATTTGGTACGGTACGTCTATCATTTCCTCAAATGA